ACACCTATGCTCTAAGTAAAATAGATATACAAATTGTCATATTAACCACTTGATCAAACATATTTCCTTTGAAAACTGCTTTGCTTTGCTGCTGATAAAAAATCTAAAATTCAGGTATATATCAGTTCGAGAGGATATCCATGAAACTCATCGCTCATCACATCCCTGGCCACCCGGGTCTGCAAAATGGCAATTGCAACAATTCAGTAAGGACAGGCAATTAATTATGTTTTCTAGACTAAAAACCAAAATAACTGTTGGGATTATAACTCCCAAAAGACATTATAAAAAAACCTTAATATTCAAAATATTTCTTATAGTAAATGGTAAAGGTCCACCACCAGTCGAGCAACTGAAGAAGCTGCAACTAAAGTTTGCGCCAGCAGACGCTTCAGCACCTCCAGTTCATCCACGTCTGGCACAAATGTCGGCAGGAGACTTGCTTTCGCCCGGAAAGCTTGTGTCACCAATGCCTCAGGGTTCCTCTAGGGTAAGTAGATAGAACCTTTGAGTTTAAGTTCATGTAGCGTACAGTCTGACTGGTACACGTCTCCCTCTCATTTCACTCCCCAATTCTCCTCTGAAGATTAATTAAATCTAATAGATATGAAAAATACTAAATTATTCAAAGTAAGTGCAAGACCGTTCAACTTTTATTGATTATTTCGAGATTCCTCAATGCAATCCATTATCAATCATGCAATGACTCATAATGCTGACGCAAAGAAAGCGTCAAAACAGCACTTTTTAAAATTTATAGCTAGGATTGTACCAAAACCTTTGTTGGAAATTCTAATAATGCGTTTCCTTTTCTTAAGAATTGTATCCCTTCATATGCATTAGTTCGATAGACAAATTTATCATTCCTATAAACACATTCCATCTAATCAGTAGGAAAACATTAAAAAATTGACCGAACACATTTACCCAATTCCACTTCTCAAAAGTATTTTAACTTAACAACTGAAATATAGTCCCAGAATAAATCTTAAGACTATTCCATCAAAATTATCATAACTACATTTTAGTTCGGTGCTATTCTGTGTATCGTCTTTCTAAACCAAACCAAAAAAATATCCCAGTATTTATCAGATTCTTTGTTAAGTAGAACTTCCGCTATCAGCCATATGAAACCACATGGAATGATCTATGGGCAATGTTTGCTTAGTTTGCCGTCTTTTGTTGGTTTTACGTTTTGCCGCATGGCATGAACCCTTGTCGTCGTGCCCGTGAGAAGATGCGGCGTGCTCTTTCACCCGGTTCCTTCAATTCTTGTCAGTGTTTCCGTCCAATTCTTTGTTATCTCAGTTTCAGTAAAATATTCAAATAATCTGGTTTTACTTGATACAACCATGGACCAGAACACATACTTCTTGTAGGACTACTCATCAAAAAATTTTGCTGAGTATATACGCTATAAATTTGTTTAAGAATACCCGCGAAGTTACATCTTTTGTTAGCAAGATAAGATTTCCGGCTGCATTTCTATTCCTATTCATAGATAATCCTTAAGCCATTACTTTGCATACTGAGAAACGACTGTAACTTAATGGAAATTTTTTCTAGTCTCTCTATTTGATCCTAACCCATCTGTTTTTATACTTTCTTTACCTTGTGCCATCAATGATAAAATTCTAGATTTTACACGTTTTATGAAAATCAAATGAGAGGAAGAATATCCAATTTTCACATATATCCGTTTCACGTATTTTTACGTTTAATATTTCGTCAAATCGTTTAACTTGTACTGTTAAAAACAAACTCTCTGAGAATTTACATATAAACAAGGCTTCAAGGCTACAGAAAACGTTTAAACACTCCGACTCATTGCTTCAGATATACTGAGTATTTTCTTCTGTAGGAAAGGCGCTCTGTTGTAGTAAACAAGTAATTTATACTTATCATCAAGTTTACTAGCTAAGCAGCAGAGTCTTGTTTTAGAATTCCAGCATACAAAATTTAAACCTATCACTGCAGAAACTCACAGAAATGTACCCATGCTTATTGTATTTTAGACAACGGTAACTTGCTCTGTAGTATCACAAAAAGTTGTAGATAATCCTGAACTTTGGAGCTTTCAAACACTGAATTGCAACATACCCAGCACTTTATCATAGTTTGCAATGGTACCCGAGATATAAACAGTTAGAAAGAAAATTTTTTGAAGCAAAAAATACTAGATAACCTTCTGATGCAGATTAATTGTCTTAAGCTAAAGAGTACGAGTTTTAGAGAAAATGTGATGAATGTTTTCTGTCTCACCAAGAAAAGCGCTTAATCAGTGCCGACCTTCCTCTTATTTCATCTTAGAAAAGCTTAAGAACTTTAAAGCGCGAATAATCTGAGCATATTTGGAAGTTCGGGACCAAGAATCATGTAGAAAACCTGACTTCAGGCGTAAAGACATTTCCAAAATTTAATAATTTCTCCAGCCTTCTTTTCTACACACTTCTCACTACATTGGTTTTTTCCATGGTTTCTACAAAGAAAGGACTAGAACAGTCTCAAGCAATAAAATTTCATTGTTTCCCCACATTTTACGTTTTTTTTCCGTGAAACATGAAAGCATATTCAGCCCACTCCATCTCCGCATAACGTAAGGACTCCGTTGCAGCCGGAGGGTACTGATGTGGGCGGTATGAATCACTACACTACAAAGGTGAACAATTTTTTTTCCCGCTGTCTCAATTATTTCGGAAAACTAATCTTCCAAAATCAAGCTCTTCAGCTGCATTTACTTTGTAAAACAACCCATTTTAGCCCACGGTTTCCCTTTCCCTCCCGCTTGAAGTCTACTGTGCTCCGTCAACAACTTATATTCCCTACCGAGTCACAAGTCCAAATGACACCTCTGGTAAAAAATTACCAACATCGTAAAGTTGCAAGAATGAAAGCCAGTATGTTTATAGGATCTCTTCAAAACCAGCCTTCACCCGGCTACACTATGGTTGATAAGACACAGATGAGTGACGTAAACGTACATCTGCAGCCATCACCTAACGGTATGTGTAAGCGCTGCAATAACGCAATCGTTTTAAGGCGCTAAGAAATGTTGATGCGGTACAGCGAATTCTACGGGTGGAGTGAAAACTTTCCAAATCAACAAGTAAAAATCCTTGTAGTGCATCCTACTTTTTTACGCGATGTAAATG